TTTTTGAAAGGCAACATAGAAATAAAAAAGGAATAAATTAAACAAGACATTTTGATATTCTTTTACAGTTTGCTTTTTAAAGTAAATCTATTTACATTTGACATTGTTTAACTTAGATTAACCCACTTACAAAATGTGAAAAGGAAAAAATGACATACTGTTTCAGAAGAACTGTGAAGCTACATCATCAATAACTAAGTTAAAGCATTCTTTCTGTATTACACTTGTACTTTACTAACCATTATATTGTACAATACTGCATATCCATATATATTCATAAGTGTACACTAAGAGCACAAATATTTAAGATACTTCATGCCACTGGTTTTTAAGGCTGAATGGTACACTATTTGAAATTTTATTATACTGCTAGTCAATGATAATTTAGACATCTCTTGTCTAAATTAGGACATCGCCATAATTCACTTTTTTAAAATCACTTATGTACAGTAACCCTGAAATTTGTTGTTAGTTGCCTCAGTTCACATGTGTACAACACATGCAATTCATATGCAAAAACACACAAACACATTTTGATGCATATGCAGACATCCATCCAGTTTCTTTTTCGGCAGTGCTTTACCACAAAAATGAAAAGCATTCTGCCCTCAGCCCTATAGAAAGGCTTTTGGTGTTTTTTTAAGGAAAAACAGCTCATCTTAAACCTTTTTTGATGTGGTTACTGTTTGGTATCTTATTACTGATTGATTTCATCTGCTCTTCATTTTTTATCTTTGTGATTAATAGAGGAGGACTGGAAGACCCACTTTTTGTATAAGAGTACTCCTAAAATGGAATTATGATGGGCAGGATGAATCTCATCCACATTATAGACTGTCCAACTGTCAGGAGTCCAGGTTACCGGCTTGATAACACAGTAAACGTAGGTAATTAAAAAGGAGGACTTATTGCAAAAACAAACAGATAGCTCCAGACAGCTCTAGACAAACCGCCGGCATTATCACTCAAGATGAGCCTTCTGAAGACTCCTTCTGGTTCCTACTGAAGATATTGAACTTCCGCACCTTACGTCTCTTGTTTTGCTTCCTATCTAGCAGCCCTCCCATTCGCCAACTCTTCGGACTTATTGGATCAGCTCCAACCTCTTCCTGTTCCATCAGACTGTCTCTGTGTCTGTTCACGCCTGTTTGAGCTTCCTGAGAGCTTTGGCTGTGTTCCATCCCGCTCTCAATTGTTTCCTTGGCAACCGGCATTCCAATGTCCTGGGGTGTTGGCACTGACTGCTGTTCCGCCTGCGTCAAATCTAAACCTCCCTGTTCTGCAGTCAACTGTAAAGTTCCCCTAGGATCTGGCTCATTCCTGACACCAACTGAGTGTCTGGAAGCTATTAATGGTTGAAGTTTTATTGTATTTTTAATATTTTGTTGGGAGCCACCCAGAGGGGCTGGGGGAACCCAGTCAGATGGGTGACATATTATTATTATTATTATTATTATTATTATTATTATCATTATTATTATTATTATTTCCCTCAATATTATCTGAGAAGGGATGAAAACCCACATATATATTCCTATCCAGAGCACCTTTTGATTTAAGGTATTATTTGCTTTGTTGCTCTGCTATCCTTTGGACCACGTCAGTGAGGCCAAGAGGGGGTGGGTCTTGTCATTTAGACAGCCAGGACCTCCATACACATTGCTAAGGCTTGCACCCTGGGGAGGTCACTTTGGTGTTCCTAATGCAGCCGTCTGACTTCACCCCTGGCAGGGGCAGAGGAAGGGGGGCACGGTGGGTGTGGGTCACCCCAGGTGTCACCACTGAGGCGGGTGACAAAATGCTGGGCAGCACTCACTGCGAGGGCTGCAGCGCACCCAAGCCATGTGTCTCTCCTGGGAGAGACTGTCGGAACTCCGTACGACCGAGCTACTCCTCAGACATTCTTCGGAATCTCCTCCGATAGTGATTAACGACCTAAGCCTTTGATGAGGCTCCAGGCACGTTCCCATTCAGCAGAGTATACAAACAGCAGCAGAAGGACGAGAAATATGAGCTACATCACTACATTTTGTTTTTAACTACACAGGACAGAAAAGAATATACATCTGCTCTCTGTGAAGGCAGAGAACCAACTGGACAAAGAAACAGGAAACCAGTAACATCAGCATCCGTCTCCCGTCTCCCGTGAGACTTCCAACAGTCTGGAATGTAAACAGAGTCTTGTGACTCCAAAAACTGCACAGTGGCATAAACAGAAACCTAACAGAGACGTGGTAGTTTGGGCATGCACAGACTTTGTGCTGCCAAAACGGTCTGCCCGCTGCCTCGCCCCCAGCTGTAGGGCGGCTGAGTGGGAGGAGGCAGGCAGACTCCGGAGGCCCCGTGGTGTGCCCCGCTCCTGGCCGTGCCACCCCAGGTGCCCGAGCAGCTTCCTCCACCACTGACCCCCGGACAACATACTCCATTGTGACACACAGGTGCCAACAACAAAATCAGTTTGCTATTTGCTAAGAATGCTGTAAAACTAATTTCCTGAAATTGTCCTTTCCCCACAAAAGAGGTTTCTGTTTTTTAATATTGCAGTTGTTGTATAAGGGACGGTTATTTTGAAAGGAATGTAATTGAGATGAATAAGATCTTGCAATGCAGAAACAAAGTACAGTGGTACCTCAGGTTGCAGATGCTTCAGGTTACAGACGCTTCAGGTTACAGACTCTGCTAACCTAGAAATAGTACCTCAGGTTAAGAACTTTGCTCCAGGATGAGAACAGAAATCGCATGGCGGCAGCGCAGTGGCAGCAGGAGGCCCCATTAGCTAAAGTGGTGCTTCAGGTTAAGAACCATTTCAGGTTAAGAACGGACCTGCAGAATGAATTGAGTTCTTAACCCGAGGTACCATTGTAAATCATCAAACCATCAATTCTAGCACACTGGAAGCCACCTAAATTGCATAATTTGGCATCTGAATGATTGGGATTAGTAATTGTATTATAATTTGGCATTATTATAATGAGGCTATCATTGGATTATTGCAACTGAAAACTAATAAAATTTATTGTCTAAAATAAAGAAAGAGGTTTCTATTTTTATGCTGCTTTTCCATTACACATCTCTCCTGTTTTCTGCAGCTTTCCCTGCTTCCTGCTCCCACATCTGAAAAGGACCTCATGAGAAAAATTGCCTGTTGGTGTCTTCCTCTAAGCTTTGACTGAAGCACATGACATTGGGGAGGCTAGCCTGAGACTAGTGCACTTACCAGTTCTGTTTCTCTTACCTTAACAACAGCAAAAAAAAATATCCACATTCATTTCTTTAAAAGAAAAAGGTTTCACTTTTAAAAAAACAATGATGATGAAAGCCTGTCGGACACACAGTGGGCAGTGTCCCCATCTTAGCTTGCAAGAAAACCCAGCTGAGGTCATCATGGGTGCAATGTACTGAAGTTCTCACCCTGGGCCAGCAGGGGAATACTGTAGATAGTTTTCACTCAGGTTCACATATGCAAATAAGGGATCGAAAGTGACGTTCAGTGATTGGATAGTTACAGAAAATGGTTACTGTTGTGTTCTAGTGGAGCTCTATATAAGCAGGCTGGCTGAGCCCTTCAGTTCAGTTCTGTTCTGGCCTGTGAATAAACAAGAGCTGTTTGAAGAATCGTTATGTCGTCTGATATGTTCACCCACAACTTAACAATGGGGTCTGCAGGAAACATGGGCACCCAAGGAGACTGTAGTGGACAGACTACTGGAGATAAGTTTGTAGAATGAAAGGATATCCACAAGCACTCCTTAGCCACATTGAAAGTAGGGAAAGGTGCATCAAACTCCTTGCACCCCATCTATAAGAATTTCTCTGAGGTTTTCTCTCCCTTTTGAAAATTCTCCAATGTGATTGCTTTTCTCACTGGAGAATAGTTGGGGGGAAGGGAATACACCGCGGGGAAAATTTGTGGCACAGCTCTGCACTAAACTTTGCACCTGGGGGCAGATTGGCAGGTGAAACTATTAGATTACGGAGAGATAGCAAGATTGACCGGGAAAATCAGAAATCAGGAAGATCGAAACTTCAATAGAGATTGAGGCAAATATAGATTGTACTTACAAGAACACTGTAAACACCTGAACTCTTTGGCAGGCTTTAAATGACTCCTGCAATGTTACAAAGACTTTGGAAACAATGGAGAACCAAAATTTGGATGAACTATAATATGCAGTTGATATAGGTTTTTATGGAATCCATGGAGGTGAGGAGAGAAGTCCTAAGAATCTTGTTTTATTTGCAATGCTTCTAAGAATATTACTTGTGTGATTGATTTTGTAAAACCAAATAAAAACTATTTTTAAAAAACAAAAAAGCTTTGCACCTGGTTCCGGGACCCCATTCTTGCCAAACTCGATCCTTAACAGATTGATCTGGATTCTTGCATATGCCATGATGCAGTGATACCAATTTGCTAAAAGAATAAAAATGCTGCCTTCATTCTTCTAAGTGCTATGTGTTGGTGTCTCACCCTAGCCCCTCCCCAACCTTCTGTTGCCAAGGAATTAATTTCAATTTTCTACTGTAAACCTCTTTTGTAAATAATTTATCCTTGTAGTTTCTTGGAGGCCCTACCAATTCGCTGACCTCTTGTGCCTTGTAGTTCTGGATGTAATTAGTTTTGACAAGCTTTCAGACTAGAGATTAAATAGAGCATGCACGCTAGGAAACTGGGTAGTAGCATTTCTTAGGAAATAGTTCCAGACTTAAGATCTCAATTTCAATAATTAGCTGTGTGAAATCTCTCTGTGTCTCCCTCCCCCATCTCTCAGAGAAACAGTACAACCACATTTATGGTAGACATAAACTATAAATATAGACCCATCTTACAAGTGGCTCGGCAGCTGTCATTCATAAACCAGAGTATTTCAACAACAAGCTGATTTAGACCCACTGAAATAAAGAAAAGTTCACCAGCTCCTTTAATTAACAAGCACAATACTCCAATTGATTTGAAGACTGGACTCTTATGATCAAAGCGGAGATCCTTTGTGATGTAGAGAAGATTGGGATGTTAACATCACAAGAATGTATTGAGTCATTTCCGCATCATCTTAACCACACTATGACAACACTAGCTTTTCTTTGATGCTGTTTCCAGGTGTAAGTACAGAGCTGGGGTTGGGAGAGACTGGTAGCTTCCTGTATATATGAAATACAGGATACAATTTAAAATGGCTGTTTGTGAATTCATAAATGTAAGTAATTGGAACAAAGCTCAAAACTCTCTTTTTTGTTTAATTCTTCTACAGGCTACACACAAGTCCAAAAGGGATAGAACTTTGTGACTATTTTTGACAGTGTCGAGTGGCCCCTCATCTTTGGGCATTTTGGAGCAGATAGGGACATAGCAACATAGCTGTACAAGCTGAATCTGCTACGTCTTCAATATAATTTCCTAATTATGACTTTTTTCTTCCTTCGTAGAAAGATCCACATATCCTCTATGAAGCAGCGGGTAGAAGAAACAATGGCAGCGGCAGCTTTTTAAAAAGAGAGAGAACATTCACAAACGTGAAGACTTTGTGTGGGAAAATATGTCTTTCCAAATTCAAAAGAATGAGTATTTGGAACATTGATCGTTCTGCCTCTCTATAGCTTTTCAAATAGTCCCACAGATTTCAAATGTGTTTAATGAATCAGGAATAGAGCTAAATGAAAGAGCCTTATTTGACTGAGAGATTAAAGAGAAATTGCAATTTGTTTTACAAAACAGTGAGAACATCAAGGAGTACTCACAACAACTGCCAGTGCCTCTTGGGATCAAATAATTTGGAAGCATGAAGTGCCCAAAGAACAAGAGAGGAAGCAATTTGCAGGAAGGAGTTTGCTACTTTGCAAGAAATTTATTAGAATACCAGTTCTCAGGGGGAAAGACTTCTAAGAATTCAGGGCAATTAGACTGTGTTTTCAAAAAATGTTTTGGACAGGGAATATAATAAAATAATCCAGTATCTGCCACTCATCACTCGGTCAACACTAGCGTTAAGTAAAGTTATTACAACTGTAAGATATTCAAGAAAGGATAGTCATCAACATGCGTTTAATATTCCTCTTCTGATTTGTGTAGTTAGCATTGTCTAATCCTCACTGTGTAACACTGAAATTGCCATTTATGTTTGTTTTTTTAAAAGGTACTCGATTCTGTACTTGAGATTCAGTGGTTGAGAAGCTTCACGATTTCATGAAAATCCTTTGACACCATGAAAAAATGTGGTACTGTACATTCCACTGGTGGAGATAAAATGGAGTGGAGTCGTGGACAGGCTATGAGTGGAACATAGCAGGATCATGTTTATTGTGTATCTATAATCCTCCAGACCCCACAGCCACCCCCCTGTTGATGGTGGAACTTGACGTCAACTGCAGAACTGGGACAAGAAATGTGGATCCCATTGGCTGCTGCTGGTGTGTGATTGAAAAATGAAAATGAACACTAGAGAGTTGTTGTTGTTGGTGGTGGTGGTGGTGGTGTGTGTGTGTGTGTGTGTGTGAGAGAGAGAGAGAGAGAGAGAGAGAGAGAGAGAGAGAGCGCATACAAAACAGGATAGTATTGGATTGCCTTTGGCATTCAGGTTTAAATCCTGATACCATTCTGTTTTATTATTTATTGAATTTTGAAAAGTTTTCAAGATTTTTACAGTAAGAGAATCCCCCTTCCTTCACTTCCCATAAGACCTTCCTTCACTTCCCATAAGATGTCAAGGAGATAAAGAACTTCACAACTTTTAGAAGACATCTGAAGACAGTCCTGTATCAAGAAGTTTTTAATGTTTGATGTTATATTATGTTTTATTATGTGTTGGAAACTGCCTAGAGTGGCTGGGGCAACCCAGCCAGATGGGCGGGGTATAAATAATAAAATTGTTGTTGTTGTTACTGTTAGAATTGGTGGCACAGAAATCTAGCCAAAAGTTCCCCTTTTTTTGCTTATACCACTATTTACTTTCTTCTGCCTGGTCACTGATGTGTGTTAAAATATGCATATCCAACGTTGCATACTAAACAACTAATACAGAATCATAGAATTGTAGAGTTAGAAGGAACCACAAGGGACATAGAATCCAACCCCCTGCAGTGCAAGAATTGTTTGCCCAACATGGGGTTCAAACCCATGACCCTAAGATTAACAATCTCACGCATACCATGTTGCGGGAGGCAATATCACGAGGCTGTTATGTATGTGTATAGAGCTGCCACTGAAGACAGTTCAGAAACTTCAGCTAGTGCAGAATTCAGCAGCCAGGTTGCTCACTGGAGCAAGATGGTTTGAGCATATTACACCGATCCTGGTCCGACTGTGCTGGCTACCAATTCGTTTCCAGGCCCAATTCAAAGTACTGGTTTTGACCTATAAAGCCTTAAATGGCTCAGGACCGCAATACCTCAAGGACCACCTCTTTCCATATGAGCCTACCCGATGCTGAGATCATCTTCTGAGGCCCTCCTTCATGTGCCTCCTCCTCAAGAGGTCCAGAGGGAGGCACACAACAATAGGCCTTCTCTGCAGTGGCTCCCCATCTGTGGATTGCTCTCCCCAGGGAAGTTCGCCTGGCACCTTCATTATTCACCTTTAGGCGCTAGGCAAATCCTTCCTTTTTAACCAGACCTTTGGTTGACCTGATTGACATCCTATACCTTTTTAAAATATGGCTCTTTGGGGGAGGGTGTTATTGGGTTATTGCTTCTATTTTTACATTGTGATCTTTTCTGTGAATTGCCCTGAGACCTCCAGGTATAGGGTGCTATATAAATTCAATAAATAATAATAATACTTTCTCAAGAGTGACTAAGACCAGAGACATTGTCAGGTTTGAGAGAGTCCTGGATGAGATATATATCTGTGGACAGGATATGGCTGACCTCTGTGGGTGCCTGCCACTGGCAGATTGGAAGGTCCATAAGAAGGTGGGCCAAATAAATAAAACTAGATAGGCAGAGGTACGAAACAGGGAACAACCTATAGCAGAAGATCTTCCTTTACAGCTATTCAACCTGTTCCTTCCCTGAACAGAAGACACAGGAAATTAGTCCCATCTCAGGGACTCAGGGGCTCAGGGAAATCAGCAAACCAGGGCATATCAGGAATTAGGAGACTGGATACAAAGGAAGTTATGGCTGCTGTGCCAGTAATACTTGTCTCTGTAAGAAGGTATTTTGACAAAGTGTAGGTTGTCAGGCATGGATGAGGGCAGCTAAAAGCATAAGGGATCTTTTCCTACTTTGCATCTGGAAATATAGAAAATATTTCTGACCTCCAGTTCTGTACCAAGAAAAAGAAAAGCTCTTTCCATTTCCCACAGGACTCACATTCTTTCTGCGGAAAGCATACATAGTTGAAACCCAGGTTTGAAAGAGATTTCAAGTCAACTTTTTCAGCAGTTTTCTACCCAGGGTGTCCAGGGATGGTCTCAGCTAACACAAAACAAAGACTCTGCAAAGCAGAAGGGGAAGTCTTGTCACTGCCAGTTATGTTTCCTGTCAATTTTGTGCTACTGTTGATTACTGAAAAATGGCACTGAGCACTGAGTGGCAGGAGTAAGAAACCGAGGAGAAAAAAGAAGCCCACCACAGGGGTGCTTCTCCTCCTCAAATCCCAGTTCTGGCTCTATTATTTTCTTGTGAAAATGCTGCAGGTTATGGCTCTCTTTTCCCTTTTATCTTTTCTTTCTTTTTTTATATAAAAAAGCATTATAATCAAGGAAAGGGTTTAGAAAATATCAGGGACCAATGTCTCTGAGTGGAGGTCTAGAGTCTTTCTCTTAAAGAGTCTTCTCATATTATTCTAAACACTGATTTTTCTCTCCTTCCTGCACTACAGGAATAATATGAGACATCTGCAACCATTATGTGAGAAGACCATGCTCCCCAGGCAAATATCGCACTAGTTTGGGGGATGGTTGATGCTGGTAACCCCAAAGAACCTCTGCTTGGGTTCTTACCACATATTAATAATGTGGTTTTTCACATTATGTCAGTAGTGGGTTGCCAGACACAAAAGTTGTTGAGCTTTTTCCCAACAGATGAATCCTGGATGTTGTTGTTGTTGTTGTTGTTGTTGTTGTTGTTGTTGTTTAGTCGTTCAGTCGTGTCCGACTCTTCATGACCCCATGGACCAGAGCACGCCAGGCACTCCTGTCTTCCACTGCCTCCCACAGTTTGGTCAAACTCATGCTGGTAGCTTCAAGAACACTATCCAACCACCTCGTTTTCTGTCGTCCCCTTCTCCTTGTGCCCTCCATCTTTCCCAACATCAGGGTCTTTTCCAGGGAGTCTTCTCTTCTCATGAGGTGGCCAAAGTATTGGAGCCTCAGCTTCAGGATCTGTCCTTCCGGTGAGCACTCAGGGCTGATTTCCTTCAGAATGGATACGTTTGATCTTCTTGCAGTCCATGGGTCTCTCAGGAGTCTCCTCCAGCACCATAATTCAAAAGCATCCATTCTTCGGTGATCAGCCTTCTTTATGGTCCAGCTCTCACTTCCATACATCACTACTGGGAAAACCATTGCTTTAACTATATGGACCTTTGTTGGCAAGGTGATGTCTCTGCTTTTTTAATCCTGGATATGTATGGGAAATCCCAGATGTATGACAGCCCAATTGTGCCTCAGAATTGGCCCTACCGTCAGGCAGAGTAAGCCCTACCATTAGAACAGATAATCAATTGTTTCATGCTTCATTATTATTATTTTATTATTTTTATTCCCAGAGAGAAAGCATTGTGGGATATTCTTCCATAGGTGCCAAAATACTTCAGTAAGCTTTGTGTACAATGCACTTTAACTTGGTGGGCGATGCTGGTGGAGCAGAGAGAAACAGAATAACAGAAAAAACACAAAAATAGCCTGCTGGATCAGGCCCAACAAGATGCCTAAGGGAAGCCCCAAAGCGTCTCAGCAGCACTTTCACCACTTGTCATTTCCAGGAACTAGAATCCCGATGAATACTGCCTACAACAGCGACGGTAAAACGCAGAAAGTTTGGCTCCACCAACTCCAGGCTTTGGCCCTGTGCACAACTGGCATTGTTCCCACCTGACACTAGCATGTGACCCCATGGGCTACCCCCAAGGGAATGTCCTCAACAGAAGAAAGGTTGTCCATCCCTCTGCTCCTCCCACTAGAGCCTCCTTTCAGGACATGCCATGGTGAGCACTGCTGCACATCAGGTGATGGAGCAAGACAAGAGCCATGAATGCCTTGCCTTCTACTTTAGGTGGAAATTTAAGGTCAAGGTACACAACACGTGGAAGAAACCAGTATGTTGTAGCCAGGAGAGGACATAGAAGTTGGACAGCTGTCAGGGCAGGATGGGTTACACTAGGAAATTTCCATGGGTGAAAGGGCTAGTGTAATGATCTCAGGCAGGCAAGCAAGCTCCAATAAGAATTAATGAGTCTCTGGCAATTTTATGGTACGTTTATTTACAAATAACACCCAGAGAGTGGCTCCGAGCTTGCCGCTCTTAGCTACCAGCTGGTCACTCTGAGTCCCCATCCCTTTTGCAGCACGAAGGGTGCCAAAGTCCCGTCCTTCCTCTCTTGTACTTCTGTTACATTTTAACCCTTTCAGATCTTCTGGTTCGGGGAGAAGGTGGGTGAACCCCCCCCCACACTCTTAAACAAAGAGCCCTCTAAACGCTGCCTTCCTCCTGGTTGCATAGCAACCCCCTCAATACCATCTATCTCCTCCCCTCCCTCTGCCTGCCAGCTTTCCTAGTCTGCTACTCTATCTGAGTCTGGAAACTCTTGATGAAGGGGGCCGAACTACTCTGCTCTGTCTGTGACTGCATTCCCTTGTCTCCAGAGTCGGACTCTGGCTCTCTCTGTACTGGCATTTCTTCATCTCCAGAGTCAGACTTATCCCAGGCGTTTGATTCAGCCATGTCCCCGACAGCTAATGTTTGTCAAAATTGGAGCTGCCTGTGTCTGATTTCAATTAAAAACAGAAATGTTTTGATCACTGATGTCCCATATCTTTTATAGTACAGTGGACACTCGGGTTGTGAATGTGATCCATGCAGGATGCATGTTCTCAACCCGCAGCGTTCGCAACCCGTAGTGGCATGTCTGCGCACGTGGAGGTTGCGATTTGGTGCATCTGCGCATGCGCAAAGCACGATTTAGTGCTTCTGTGCATGCGCAACCGCTGAAACCTGGAAGTAACCCGTTCCGGTACTTCCAGGTTTCAGCAAGTGCGTAACCAAAAAAAATGCAACCCGAAGTGGCTGTAACCAAAGGTATGACTGTATGGCCCTCAAATGGCAATGCCTAACATCAGGGTTGCAAACTATAGGTAAATGTGATGGGCTTCCATCCCTAAACTATTTTGTTTCCTTTCCCACATATGCATGTCATACATTTTTCCCATGGTTAAAAGGATGTGCCTGTCCAGTAAGAGCTTTTCAGTACTCAATTTAGGGATCATGGATAGGGGAGAAGATCTTGAACTTCGTTATAATGCTTTGTAATTGAAGACTAAAGAAGCCTGAACTGATGCAATGGTTTGTTCTTACTCACATTTCAGTGCAGAGAAAAGGAAACAGGGAGAATGCAAATGTCTTGCACCAAATTAAAAAGGCGCTGTATATAAAATTAAATGTAGCTCATCTTCTCAGCTGAGCCTGAGATGGTTAACCTCTCTTCTCCAACTGAAGCAAATCTCTTTTTAATGTACACCTCCCACACAGAAAAGCAAGTAATTAGAACCTACTATTGTGCAAAGCATGAAAATGTCTCGCAAATCAAAGTGTCAAAACAAACATTATATTGGAAGTAATGAGGATGCTTGTATAATGAGTAACTTTCTATTATACCACTATTGTTTCTTGCCACTTTTTTTACTTAGAATGGGGGCTTAATTTGAACTGGGGTTGGAATTAGTGGCCTGCACCAGGA